GTGAATAATTTTTCCTTGTAAAGAATTAATGTCATTAACCGGCTTTTCGTAGAATTTTTGTTTAATAGTACCCCAAGCAAAAAAATCCAATGGTCCGTCAAATCCGTCAGACAAATGTCAAGCCTGTCTCAATGTTCAAGGCCGTCACTTTGAACAAAATTTATAATTAAGTAAAAATTTTCATATTTTTTAATAAAGTATTTGAAGCACACTATTAAATTATTTATTATAACCCGATAACAATTTCATAAAATTTTATAATGAAAAATGTTTAGATGTCAATATCTCTTAAACAAAGCGTTTACGGACATGTCTCCAGAGGAAAGTTTTTTCTTGTTTTGAGGTCCTAAGTTCATATTTTAAGTTAGGACACTTTACCCTAAAACACCCTGTATAGAATTGATATACAGAGTCGATAAATAAATCTATAGAAAAAAGCTTTTTGTGTGCATTTTTAAATAGAAAATCGCGGTCAAATCGCGACAACAAATATCAACAAGTACGCGACGTGATGCGCTTGAAAAGAGCGAAAACTGTCAAGTATCGCATGCATTATGGTATTCGATACGCAAGAGGGGAGCAAACGGCTCTCCCGATGCGCGAGCGTGTAGGGTATCCAGCGGCACTCGTTAACGCCGACGTATCCGCGAGGTGTTACGCCAGTGTCTTCGCTCGCTCTCGACAGAAACGATTATCGAGGATGAAAGAGAGCCGCGGCGGGCTGAAATGGAGGAACCAGTCCCGTGCGGCCGAGACGCGGCGAGACGGAGGACCGGAGGCGAGCGGACCGGACGTTACGGGGCCCGCCGAGACGAAGGGGAGGACCGGAGCGTGTGCGGGGCGCGAGATGGAGAGCGAGAAGCGGGCAAAAAGAAAGGCGGGAGTGCGCGCAACGGTAGCGAGAAACAAAGTGAAACTTACGAGCTGATTCTGATAGGCGGTGACAGCGGTGAATATGGCCTCCGGGAATACGAAGGTCTTGTGCGGCTCCTTTTCGAGGTCCATGATCGTCTTCACCGTGCCCGAGTCCGGCCGCTTCACCAGGTGGATCCTCGGCTGGTACTTGTGCATCGAGTTCAGGACCAGCTGCAAATTATCGCAAACTGTACACCGCCGGCAACTGTGCGGCGCGAAGACGGCGGGGCACACGTTCGCAAATAAACGCGCGAGCCTGGCGAACGCTCGATTTTCCAAATAGACGCTTCCTCCCTTTTCCCCATCCCTCCGCTCGCGCCCGGCACTGTATCGAACCGGGGGGGGCTTCGCCGATGGTTGCGACTTCAAACGCTCCTGATATCTGACCCCCGCACGCCAAGTGCGTTACGCCGCAAGTGTATCTGTCGTTAATCTATAATTGACGCCCTTCAAGTTTCGATACGCTGCGCTTTTTTTTCCATCACGATTTACAAATGATCGTTTTTGCCCACGCGAAATTGAAACGAGACCGTTTCCTGAGAGAGTCGCGTTGCAATTTAAAGAGATGCGATGGAAATAATAACGTTGCAATCGGGCGATCTCGCGGGTGTCCGATTTCGTCCAATTAAAGGTACGGAATCAGCTGAACGATTCGACCAGACGACATGGATATCGTCAGGCAGTTTCACGCGTCTCTTCGTGCCTCGCGTTTCCACCCAGCCCCAATTTCGAGGGGGGGGGGGTTTGCACCATTAGGGTTCTCGAATCGCTGATGACGGCTCATCCTTTCCCGGCGACGAGGACGCGAGATTACATCGAGTTTCACGTCGCGTTGACTCTGGTCGTCCGGAGGACTCGGATCGGCGACGAAGCCGCGAGGGCCACGCGATAGCATTAACAGCGACCGGGGGGACGGGGGGGAGGGAAGAAAAAGCGTATGAATCAAGAGCATCTCGGGCCGGGCGCGCTCTCCCCGTTACCGTTCAAAAGAATCACTTTGCCCGCGTCTGGCAGCGTGTAATACCCTGAATACAAAATGAGTACCATGAAGAAGCGCTGCCCCGATCGGAGTTCCTATTTACGTCAGTCATCCGATGAATTAAGGGCCCCGGATGCGCCGGCAGAGAAAGAGGAGCTCGGGCTGACAATGAGACGGAGGGTTAGGGGGTGGCGGAGGGGGGGGGGGAGGGAAGGGAGGGCCGAAAGAAGAGCGACGTGGGCGAAGACGCGGCTGAGATTCCCGTGTCTTATGACAAACGAGACAACGGACTGTCAAATTATCCCGTGAAGCGACTAAATCGCGCTACGATGAAATTCGTTTTATCGGCGTTCATTTTTCTCCCTTTCGTAAACGAGACGTGCGGTGGGTCGTGAGGTTGCTTGAATTTGCGGCGATGACATCCTTGATGACTTTTTGATTTTAAAGCAACCGTGAGGAATTGACTCAATTAATTCTCTCTCTCTTTCTCTCTCTCTCTCTCTCTCTCTCTCTCTCTCTCTCTCTCTCTCTCTGCGGATGCGGCACGATGTTCCTTCTAAATTCGAATATAATCACCGCACGTTGAAAAATCGCTCGCACGTCATCACTTCATTTCCTCGTAATTTCAAGCCTTTCAAAATTCTCTATGAGCGCCTCGCCAGTGTCATCGCCGTTGAACTTTAACGGGCTGTAAACTCGCCTGTGCAAACCCGGCCGCCGCGTCACGCCGCGTGTGGTTACGGAAAAGGAAAATTGCCCGAGGGGCGGGAGAGGGGGGGGGGGAGCATATTTCGAAACGCGAGGGGGTAAGATAAACGCTTTACGCGACAAGGCGAAATGCCGCCGTGTTGCGCTCCACTTTGCTGAACTTTGTTGAACCTAACAATCGATGCCCGGTCGATTTATTAATGCAACAACCGGAGGACGCGGTAGGCGTGCACTCGCTGTCTTCGACGCCGACGATGTCGTACTTTTAGCCGCAGCTGCGCCGAGTAACGTGTAAAAGTTTAATGCGCGAGTTGTCTCGGGACGACCGCGTCTCTCCCCCTCCCCCCCTCCCCGCCCCCCCCCGCGCACCTCCTGCCATCCCCTATAGCGGGAGAACGTGGAAAATTCTCCGTCCGTCAGAAAATGTCGACAGGTCGACGGAGTTCTCACGCGCGCGGTAATGAAAACTAGCTAAACGGCGCTGGCGTTCTCCTTTTTCGAAGATGTCGTTGCCTATTACCTACGTTTCTCGAGACATGGAGGTTTGGAGGATTTTAATCGCTCAAATTTTACCTTAAAAAATACAGGGTGGTGCTGAAACAGTTGGTCAAAATCAGGGATTGAATTGGGCTCATCATACGGATGAAAAAAAAATTCCCATAAGCGTTAATCAAAAACGTATCCTTCAGGAGTCACGACTCATTTAATTATCAATCTCGAAGAATAAATATAATACATTTAAAGTTTCGATCGTACTTACTATGATTTGTGCTTTTTTTTAATGAACTCGTCTTTAATTAACTGTCATCACAATTGAAATCTAATACCATTGTTCGGGCACGGGAACAATACTTCAAAATTCAAAACACATCAATCTCGAAATACGCTGGGAATCTTTAAGCGTGTTAGACAGTGAATGGTTAGATGAAAGCACGTGTTTTCGTTAACAGTGGACACTTTTAACAACCTCTGTAAATAAAAATGAAGTTTCTTCCTTTCTTGGTGGGTGAAAGAGGGGGAAAGGATTTTCCTTTCATACACTGAGAAAAAAAATTGTTGATGTTACAAAATATGTTTAGTTAACGGTATTTCTCTAATTCAAATATATATGTTTTTCAAGTAAACATAATTTATTTAAATACATATATTTTTTAATTAACAAATGTTTACGTGAATTAACACATATTTGTTTGACAGCCCGTGACTGCAGCATATAGTTGAATCAAGAAATATTTTCTTGACTCAACAGTTTTTTCTCAGTGTAGCTTTCCCCTTTTTTAAAATCAGGTATTAATAATTGAATGAGTCGTGGCTCCTGCGGGATGCGTTTTTGGACTAACGTTTATGGGAACTTTTTTCAACCTTGTGACAAACCCAATCCAATCCCTGAGGTTGACCAACTATTTCAGGACCACCCTGTATATTTATGTACAGATATCTTCGTAATCATGAGATTTAAGTCTAATCCTAGTAATACACCAGGATATTTTTCTGTCAATATCTATACGTTAAATATCAATGTGATTTTACCGATATATAGAACATTAATTTTTTTTTAATGACTTGAAGAAGATACCGAAAATATTGTAAAACTCAATCAACGAGGTATTATAAAATAATTACACTTTCGTGTCTTTCTTTTTTTTTACATAAGAACATAGTCGGCATGCTTTCTTTTTGAGGATTAAACCCGGGGATGAGAAATAAGGAGCGAGCGTCCGCAGATTTTATTCCATTTCGCTTGTCACCGGTTCGCGGATCATTCAGAACGACGGCAAGGAATTTTACATTGGCGCGGTGGGAAATCAATGCGCGTTACTACGTAAACGCGCGCGAATCGCGCGAGTAAGTTATTCATCTTGCAGTAAGAACTTAATAATAAGGATTGATCTTCGCGGCGGTCTGACAAGTGTCACGAGGAATTAACCGGATGCCTTCGTGCGAGAAATAGACGGTGGAACGAGGCTTATTAATTAATTAATCCAATAAGAAACTTAACACATCCGTCGTAGCGCGAATTGGAGTCTGCACTTCGTCGGATTTTGCTTTTTATAGCGTGCCGATATAGAAGTGCCGGAAGTACGAAGATAATTCATACAAAATGAATAACACGAATACACAGCGTTCAGCTGCTAAGTTTTTATTCACGGCTCCATTGAGTTTGAAAATCTAATGCGATCAGCGGCACGAAACTACGCTTTCCGCCGTTCTTCCTCTCGTCTTTACTTATTCACCGTCCTTCGAAAGTTGACGGAAATTATCACAGCAATTCAATTATTGTTGTCAATCTGCGCGATTCGGCGATTGATCCTAATGAGACAGGGCAAACGGGGGGGGGGGGAGGGAGATGGGTAGATTTTTCTAAAGATACTCACGTGCCCATGCCTGTCCATGTCGTTGTTGGTGAGCTTGACTTTCTCGAAGGAAACGACCTGCTTTCGGAGCTGCTCGCCCGTGAAAGGCGAATCCGGATGGACGTAGAGCCGGGCTGGCGCCGGCGGATCTGCCTTTCCGGCCACCAACCAGCAGCTCCGGTGATATGCGTACCGATATCTCTTATTGTCGACCGGCACGATGTCCATCAGGACCGAATATCGGCTGTCCGCCTTCAGTCCGTTAAATGAGACACGACACGTCGGGAACATCCGTCTGCGCAAACACGAACGTATCATTGGTCAGAGGAGAAATCCTTACAATTCTTATCGCTGACCTATACACTAAGCTTCTAAACAGTTTCCAACTACTAACGATTAATGGCAATTCGGTTGTATCAATCGTTTCGTACGTAAAGCTGCAGTTCCTTAAAATAGTTTAAATCGTTGTTGACTGAGTTGAGATTCTCTCTCGACTGGATGCAGAACCCGTAAACTATTTTCCAATTCTCTAACTAGCAGTTTCTAGAATAGCATTTACAATAACGTTTGCCGTTAGGTAAAAATAACCGAGACGTCATCGATTCATCGTCCTCTGCTAATGACGGTATACCGGGATTCTCTTTGGATATCATCGACGAAACAAAAGTTTCGACAATCAATGATACGGGATGGCTCGCGATAATTTTAGGGTTGACCCGCTCACGCTCGTCGACGGAGCACGAGAAGAGAATAAGCGAAGAAAAGGGGGGCCGGGCAGGGGCGGGAGGGTGGGCCCGGGCTGGGGATTAGTGGCGAGGGGAGCGCGGGGGCAAAGGACCTGGCGTGAATGTTTTGCCTCGGAGGCCAAACATTAATACCGTGTCGGGCCCCCCGCTGCTCGGCCACTAAAACGCGGGGACACCCGCCGATCTTATCTACGTCTTCTCCTCGGTCCTTGTCGACTCGGTATGCATTCATCCCGCCAGCGCCACGAGTGTGAGTAATGCTTTTATTTATCAAGCCGTCTTTTGTTAATGAATTGAACGAGGGAGAAGGTGGGGCCCTCACCCTCGCGCCACGCCGCCCCCGGCTCCCTTCCTCCTCGTTTGTGTGCCTGATTTTCAACCCTCCGTCCCCCCCCCACCCCCGATTTCGCGCGACCATTTCTCTCGTGACGCGGGCACGAACTCCAAGAATGTCTGCGACTTTTTTTCCACCGGATTAATCCGCCAAATTCCCGTCTCGCCGCGAGGACGGTGGCTTTTGTGCAGAATGCGTTAGAAAACTCGGTCTGAGAATCCTTGGAAATAAAGAGTAGAGACGATCCTTTATAGACAAAACATGTTCACACTGATTCTTAAACCAGTAGGCAGTTATTGTTTAAGGTAGTTCTTTCGTAAAATCAGTTAC